CCCCCCCCCCCCCCCCCCCCCCCCCCCCCCCCGCTTGGGATCTCTCCAGGCTAAAGCATGCTTGTCCTGATGTAAAGAACGCCAGGATAATGCAAAAGGCACAGCACTCTGCCGAGTCCTGATATCCCAGCAGAGGGAGTAAAGCCCCAGAGGCTAAGGGCCACCTTCCCAGCCACTCACCTAGCCAGGTCACGTCCACACTGGCCGGGGCAGACCTGGCCTCTGCCACCTTGTACCAGCTCCTGTTGTGTCCGGGTGCCCAGAGCGCCACGTGGCAGAAATAGTAGCCGGAGTTTTCTTTGCTAACATCTCGAACCAGTAAATGGTAGGAGCGTGCATCCACATGGCTCAAAGCAACGTGGGGAGAGCTGTGCACCAGGGAATCCCGGTCCAGCCTCGCCAACACGGGCGAGCCAGTCAAAGTGCTGTCGGGCGACCTGCCGAAGTACCATGTCACCTCGGGTCGGACATCATCTACTCGGTCCGTTGTGATGTTGCAGGTCAGATCCAGCTCCTTTCCCTCAGCCACAGACACGCTCCGGGCCACGGCCGCTCGCAGAACTTGAAAATGAAACAAAACAAAACAAAACAAAAATACATCTAGATCATCTGGGTTATGTTTGCCCCTCCCTCCCTCCCTTTAGATCATCTCCTTCTATGTTCTTATTTATGGCGTTAAAGTTAGAAGGCTTTGTGCGATTCTAAGTGCTTGAGAAATATTTACTGAACAAATTAAGGAAATTATAATACATTTCTTTCCATTACATGAAAATACTAACAGCAGCAAACACTTAACATACACTTACGAAATGCCAGGCACTGCTCGGAGTGCCTTAGAAACGTTAACCTTCAAAACGACCGTAGGAGGTAAGTACTATTACTATCTTCATTTTACCGATAAGGAAACTGAAGCACAGAAAAGTTAAGTAACTTGCCCAAGGTCACACAGGTAATACATGGCAGAGCAGGGACTCAAATGTAAGCTGTCTCCAGGGGCTCTGCTCTTAACTGTTAACGTTTGTTTGAAAAGAAGTCGAAACATCACAAAACTAAAATTATAGCTTCTCCATGTGCATAGTAAGACTTGGGTGATTTTACAGAGAAAGGATAGCTCAGTGCTGAACTGGCATGCGTTATTAGTTGGGGACCAGGGGCTTGGGGTTGGAGGCTGGACTGCAGGAGGTGAGGGTGAAACCATCTTCTGGGTAAAAAAGAAGAAAATCCTAAACAGAAGGACCAGGAAAGTGAAACCAGACAATATGCCTTATGAGTCAAGCCTTCAAAATGCAATGTAATGGAATAAATGCAGAGCATCACTTATTCCATTAGACATACCCACCTTAAAGCCAAATATAAAACAGATACTCTAAAACGAAAACACAATGACTTTCGGATTATCCACGCCACTGCCTTCTCACAAGACTGTGGATAATTAAAAGTAGACTATATTTAGATGAAGTATTGAAGTATTTGGTGTCACAGTCTCAGGGCAGATCTGGTTTCAGCATTCCCCTGTCAAAGCTTTTTACATGGAAACATTTTACTTTATTTGAGTGTTGTTTTTTTTTTAAGAAGTTGAACATCTGTAATCAGAGTAGAAAAACATTCAATTCGTGGTAATGCTCTGGGAACCACTGCTTAGATGAGAAATAGCTAACACCTCCCAGGAGATTCGAGTGGAGGCATGGCCCTGGTCTTCCAAGACTGGCTCAGCCTCAGCTGCTATCCTGAGTAAGCTCAGCAACAAAGGCTGGTGCCTGGCTCAGAAAAGGCCCAACCCCAAAGCCCATGCCCTCTGGAGTAGACTGCTTTCATATAAATGTTTCCAAAGCCTGACAACATTTCGAACAAGCATTTTAGGCCAAGTTCAAGACCCACCTTGATGAAGACAGAAAATGAGGTGGGTATAGTATTATGAAAGGGAATTTAAAAGTTTGATTTCTCACCTCACCCACCCTCCAAATTCTTCCTCCTCCTTAACCCCTTTAAAGGGGCCAAAAGTAATCTGAGGGCATCTTTTGAGAGGAGTCAGTATGGAAACTGCCGCTCTGAGCCTGCACTGTGAGGGGTTCGAACAGCCCCACAAGCAATGCCTATGGTCAGAGACCCTGGAATACTGCTGGAGTACCTCTGTGCCGGCTGGAAGTAAAAGGCGGCTCAGGAGGGGAGCAGGTGAGTGAGGAAGGGGTAAATACACAGCTGTGGACTGCAGGTATGGACAAAACGGATTCTCAGCTTTAAGAATAACTGAATAGTTTACTTTGTAATCTTCTCTCTGCAAGGTGCTAAATAGCTTGCCACATCACTAACCATTGTTCCCGTATGCTCTGGATTGGGGGCGATTCACAGCTGGGAGACAGGACAGAGCAGGTGGAAGGAAAAAAAAGAATAATTTCTAAGGACTCATAATGCAAGGGGATACCCCAGACAAAAGCCTGTGGTGGTGAAGCTTTCTCTGGTTGGATATAACTGAAGCCATAAATTAGGCACCAAGATCTGCATGATGCAGACCACTCCCAACATGGGGGGGGGGGGAAGAGGGGTATTGCCACATACATAACACAGCCCCACTGTTTAAGTAGCTTTGGGCTGTTTATCATAATAATGCAGTAAGAATATTCAAGAAGCTAGCTATGGATAGTACAGGTGTTGACAAAAAGAGAGAGGCCAGCCCTCTAGTGTGGTGGTTCTTAACCTGGGGTCCAAGAAGATAATTTAGGAAGTCTGTGACCTGGGTGGGAAAAAATCTTGTCTTTGTTTTTACTAATCTCTACCTGAAATATAGCATCTCCTCTCATTACGAAACTAAGCAACAAACCGCTAGAGTATTATCTGTCCCTGGGACTTTGGCCCAATAGAAGTCAAGGATATTTTCAAATTACATTGCAATTGTTGCAGATATCTTAAAATATCATTTGCACTTGTTGCCACTTGGAAATTACAGTGGTTGTTAAGCCTGCCACTATATATTATTTAATGCATTAATAAAGCACAATATTACCATGTAACAAATTTGTCTTAAAATATTTTGATAACTATTTCAATAGAATCATTTTCCCTTGTCAACTTACATACATTTTTAATGAATTAAAACACGTTAATTCTGAGAAGGGGTCTGTGGGCTTCAAGACTGTCAAAGAAGCCCATGGCAACAAAATGGTTATGAAGCCCAGGCTCAGGAGAGAGCCAGATGCTATTATATGCATAAGAAGTTCAGAGTTTTCAAGTCTTATACTCGATATTATGGGTTTTGTGGCTTGTCTGAAATAAAGAATACCTTTACAATTCAAATTCTGCACAAAAAGATAACTTGTTGCAAATCTGAAACTCAATCGTTCTGCACCCCCCCTCCCCCGCCGGCCTGAGAATAGTGTGATGCAAACTGAATATCCCAGTTTCTTAGGAGAGATTCCAGGCAGATCACATCCTTAAAGGCAGGCGACCTGAATCCACTTAGAAAGTGATTTCTGCGGCCAGTGGAAGACTGGCCATGATGAGTAGCCCCTTTCCTCGGCAAGAGCACCTCCCACCTCACTGATGGCCGCAGTCACTCAGGAACCTCAGTCCTGCTTTTTTACCAAATCCAACTCCTGGGCAGTGGTATAAATGCAGAATGAAGTGCTCAGGACCATGCAGCCTGTAGGGGGAAAATACTCCCCATGAGGACCGTCTCCTGCTTTCCTTCCCATCTGAGCAACAGAGCGGCCACACATTCACATTTATACTCAGGAAATGAGTCTGCCCCAGGTCTTCCCAGGTTATAAAGCAGGAGGCGGCAGCAATGGGTCTGAGGATGTTAGCCTCCCAGAAAACCAAGGATAGCCATCCATCCACAGCAATGACCTCATCCTGAGATGGTCTCTCTACACTGTCTCTGCTGGAGCTCGAAGCTCTATGGGGCCCAGGAATGTTCCTCAAAAACGTCTGACCCCAGGGCCCAGACAGAGCTGATCATCCAGTAGGTTCTTTATTAATGTTTGTTGGACAGAGTCAATAACAGCTTGTTTCTCCTCTCTTACTTTTTATGGTTTTTATAAATGTATCTTGTATTTTCTTGCTTTCTAATAGGAATAGGAAAGTGTGTGTGTGTTTTTTCAAATACAAAGGCTGGTTCACAGGTGAGAGCACAGAGAACCGCCTGCAGGGAGACCCCAGGGCTCGATGCACACTCCAGGGGTATGTGTCATACACAGACCAAGAAGAGGCCCAGCCCTAGAGAAGTCTCATCCAGCCTGGATGGCATATCTAGAGGATCCAAGGTAGACCAGACGTCTGGGGAAGAGCCGGACGCACTCCAACGGCTGTGCAAAATAGCCAAACCAGAATTTCAGGAAACACCCAAATAAGATAAAGCCAAAAACAAAATAAAGGGAGTGGGGGCAGCTCCGCCCCGAAGCCCCCCTGAACCCCAGGCCAGACCTCATTCTGGCACTTGAAGGGACTTAATCTTTCAGTCAACAAATTGTCTTAGTATTTTATGCAACCCGCAGAGTCCCAGGAGTATGAATCCAGATGAGAAGCAGCTGTAAAGCAAAACCACAGGCAGCCGGCACAAAACAAACACACCTTCCCCAAACTCTCACCACCGCCCTACTCGCCCTGCCCGTCAACGGGAGGCCTCACGTGGCCAGCACCGACCTTGTCCCCCAAAGGATGGGGCTCCCGCCTGGTCCTTTACCCGGCCCCTGGCCGGAAAACAGGCCAGAGCGTAAGCCAGACAAGTTCCAGGAGCTCACCTGTTGGCTGGATCAGCACGGTGGCCACTTCCACGGCTTTCTCTTGAATCTCTTGCCAGCTGCCCTGCTCGCCGATCCACTCGCTGACCACGCACCTGTAGGAGCCCTGGTCCGAGGCCAGGGCGCGGGCCACGGCCAGGCGGTAGCCGTCGCCGCCCACGGTGTCCAGGCGCACGTCGCCGGCGCGGTAGCGCTGCTCGTAGCCGGGCCCCGGGCGGAAGCGGCCCTCGTGGGTCAGGGCCAGCACGCTCCGCCGGGCCGCGCCGCGCTGCAGCTCCCACAGCAGCGCCAGGTGCGTGTGCAGCGGCGACGCCGTGGAGGCCGCGCAGCGCAGCTCGAACGGCTCGCCCAGGCGCAGGCTCAGGCCCGGGGCGGGCGGCGCGGCGGCGCCCACGCGCAGGGCATCGGCCAGCACTGCGGGAGGAAGCACAGCCGTCAGCCGCGCCGCGCGCGCGGCCCCTGCAGGCCCCCGCCCCCTTCTGGGGCTTTCTGCCCCCCCCCCCCCGCGGGAGCGGCGCCCTTGCCCTGTTCTAGCGCCCACGCGGGAACCCTCTCCCATTTTAATTCGTGTGTAATCCCAACTGACTTTCTGACCTGAGAAAGAAATTTAAAAAAAAAAGAAGAAAAAAGGGAAAAAAGAAAAAGGAAGAAAAAAAAAGAGAAACAAAAAGAAGAGGCACTAAAGACCCCTCCCCCCCGCTAGAACTGAGGGGAGAACACTCCCTTTTGGGAGTTGTGCCTTAGGGATGGATTTCTGTCACCCCTGAGCAAGTTACTTCACTCCTCTGTGCCTCAGTTTCCTCATTTCTAAAAAGGGATGACAACTGGACCCATCTCAGGGAGCTGACAGCGCTGAAGTAGTGATAAGCAGAGGTGCTTGGCGCTCAGCAATGTTGGTAAAATAACTGGCTGTTACCGTCACACACTCCTCTGTTAGGGCACCAGGCTCCAGAATCTTCTACCAGTTAAAGCAGCATGTTCCAAAGAGGGCAAAAGCGTGGCATGAGCTGCCTGTGCCCCGAGGCCTGGGAAACGCCTGAGAACAACTAGGGTGAGTAGAAGGTACATGCAGAAAAGGAAGCCGTCAAGGAAAACAGAACCCTCAGCTATGTACCCTATTAGGGCCATTTGGGAAAAGGCTGGCTCTTTATAGGGGGCCAGAAATCCAGAAAGTATTGGTGAGTGCTATTTGGGAAGGGAAGTGATAATCGAGATAACCAGAGAAAAGGCCTCTAACCAAAGGGCGTGGCCAATCTCTGAGACTTGTCTACAAGCTGGATAAAAGAACCCTCCAACCCTACTATTCATTATGTCTTTGGTTTTTCTCGAAATTCCACGCTTAGAAACTAATTTAGTGTCCTTGAGAAAAAACTGCTCCATCTTTAGAAAGACCTATCCCAAAGACCCATCTCTACTGCAAAATGAATATAATGACCTTCTAGTATTATCCATCAGTCTGAGTCCAGTTAACAGGACTCCGTTCTTGAGGCCAGATATCTGTCAGCGCATGGCTGAACAGTTTGAAGACCCACAACGCTGAAGACCAGACAGACCCCGGACCCTGCATGGCAGCCACCAGAGGCACTACCTGGGCAGCCAGCCAGTCTCATTCATGACCATCTATCTGCTTTCCTCACCCAAGGAAAGCCTCTCCTTGCTCCTTCCTTCCAAAGACTGGAGAAGAAACAGGAAGACACTGGGGGGACAGGGTAAGGGGAATTCTCCTGCTGCCCCCTACTCCTCAAGATGAGAATTACAGGGGAGATAAGTGTGCATCTAACCTAATGGAGGTACAGCATGTTTGTGATGACTAAAAGCAACACATAAATATTAACTGCAATGCGGGGCGCCTGGGTGGCTCAGTCGTTAAGTGTCTGCCTTCAGCTCAGGTCATGATCTCAGGGTCCTGGGATCCAGTCCTGCATCAGGCTCCCTGCTCCTTGGGAAGCCTGCTTCTCCCTCTCCCACTCCCCCTGCTTGTGTTCCCTCTCTTGCTGTGTCTCTCTCTGTCAAATAAATAAATAAAATCTTCAAAAAAAAATTATTAACTGCAACGCAAGAATGTCTCACGGGACTTTTTTCTAAAAAACATCTTTGGGATTTTCTATAAAGAAGAGGTGATGGAAGAGGTAGATTTGATGTTTTAATACCTACATAATGGATATGGCTGTTTTATTCCCTCCTGAGTCAAATGGGGGGAACAGCCCCTGAGACATAGCAGGGTTCTGTACATCATTACAGAGGGGATGAATATCTGGATCAGCCCCTTCTTTTTAGATCATCACATACATCTTCTACTTTCCCAATTGTTACCTACGTTCCCTACTCTGATATACATGCTTTTTGGAATAAGGCAGGATATAAATAAATGCATAATTAAGTAATAATAACAATAAGCATGTTTCTATTTTGCTGACCCCAAATTAGTTTGTTCTCGCTCATTTACCAATTAGCTATATGATTTTTGGGCAAGTAATTAACCTATGCTCTTCCATTTCCTCCTATGTAAATCAGGGAAATAGTCTGCTGATCTTCTTCATTGGGTTAGAGAACTGAATGTGGGAATAAATCTAATAGGACTTGGAAAAGGGAAAAAAAACCCCACAAAACCCCAAACCTTCCAAATATATAAGGTGTGATTCTCTGCAGAATCAGGCCAATAAGCTAGTAGGGTTCCATCATAAGCTAGCAGTGACCACATCGTTCTTTCTCTACATATAACCCACACAAATTCCAGAACACACTGCCCTTTGTGAAGAGCACAAAGAAAGACATGAGCTTTGAAGTATCTGATATTCCCATAAAAGTGAACATCATCGTGACCATCACCTTCTCAGGGCAAACCTTATGAATGCTTACTATGGAACTGCTCTGAGGCCTGACACGTGCTAACTCACCTTGTCCTCATAACCTTTAAGGGGAGCACTGTTTCACAGATGAGGAAGATGAGGCACGTAACATGCCCACGGCCACTTGATGACAGGTGGTAGAGCCAGCAATTGGATTGAGTGCAGGCAACCTGGCTCAGAGCTGGGCTCTGCCACCATGCCAGCCACAGATGGTTCAGAATCATAGCGAAGAGAAAGGGCCCTCGGAGGGGAGCTGGCCTATCCTCCGCTTTTAATCAGGTAAGATACTTCTGTCCATTGGACAGGGAGCAGAGTCCCAGAGGAGTTAAGTATCTTGACAAAGGAGAGTGGCAGAGAAAAGTCTGCCCCTGATGAACCCCATGAGGATGTTACCTTTAACCTGCACTGTATCCTCATAGTTGCCCTGGACGGTGGCGTCGGTGCTGGGCGTTGAACATTTGTAGTGGCCCTCGTCTGAGGGCTGGACGTTCTTGATGTGGAGCTCCACGGCATCATTGGCGGTCCTCCTCAACACGATCTCGCCCCTCTGCAGGCGTTCACGGTACAGCTGGGCTGCGAAGCCCGCCTCCCAGGTGCTGGCAAGCTCCACGAAGCTGCTCCCCGAAGACGAGAAGCTCCAGTCAAAGTTCTGCTCGCTGGGGCCGTCATAGTCACTGACGTTGCAGGGGATGACCAGCTCAGTGCCCACCACCCGCACCAGGCTCCCTGTGGGGACTCTCACCACGCGCCCTCGACAAACAGCTGCAATGACAAGAGATGAGAGGCGGGACTTGAGTCACAGAAGGTCATCCCAGTATAAATGTGTCAAACCCGTGGGTGCTCCTGCTCACAGGCTCGTGGCAAAAAAAAAAAAAAAAGTGACATCTGGCCACCTGGGAAAAATGGTGCGCTGCCTGGGGCTGAGCAGAAAGAGGTTAAGCCCATCCCTAGAACCGTGAGCCAGGAATACAACCCTGAAATGAGCACCTCTCCCACAACAGTTTCCTAGGATTCACAGGGAAGAAGACAAGTATTAAAAGTAGGCTAACCATAAACCTGAATAGCTTCTTCCCTCCTGTTACTATTTAACATACCATTGTCACTCAATGTGATGTAGAAGTATTTTAGGGGTGGTGTGAAAGAAAAGGACACAGCTAATCAAGTATTTACATTTCTGCCCACCCTAGATCAACCCTCATCCCTAGAGACCATTCCCCAGGGCTCCTGAGACCTGATTTATAATGATCGATGCCAATTTTTAAACCCTAGAGCGGCCTGCTGATAAAAAGATTTAACTCTGGTTATCTGACATTGCCTATAAATTAATATTAAAATATGACGACCCCACCAAGTATTAATTTTCTATTTTCTGGCTCATTTCCTTCTCTCTGTTCACCCTGATCTAAATTCAGAATGAGGATAGGGAAGCACAAAAGGAGACCGTGCCTTGTCTCGCTGGTTGCTGGGCGTTGTTAGGAATGCAGCAGCTTGCTGGGGATGAGTTCAGTGGATGAAGCCAACAGTTTACTGGCACTCCCTGCCCCAAGAGCACACACCTCCCAGGCCTCTGATAGGGCTCTAGGGACCCTCACCTGTGTGTCCTTTAAGGGGTCACCTTTGCCGTGAACTTCAGTGCGATTTTGTACTGCATTTATTACCTGTGCATAGCATTTCAATTTGGACCAAATGAACTTGTCTGGCTCCTGCTTGATGTCTTATGAACAGGTACAGCACTAAGGCAAACAAGGGAAAGCATGGGCTCCGAAATCCAGGAGACCCAAGTTTGTCTATTTTCTTAAGTCAAAAATTTCTTTTATTTTGTACTTGAGTGACATAACACAAAATAACACCTGCGCCCCACACACATTCCTCGTACTGGGATGAGGGCACATTCACTAAGTTTCTCTAAATTAACTTCTTCACTATTAACATCAGGTATAGCTATCTCAAAAGAAACATCACTCAGGGCGCCTGGGTGGCTCAGTCGGTTAGCATCTGACTCTTGATTTCAGCTCAGATTATGGTCTCAGGGTTGTGAGATCCAGCTAACATTGGGCTCTGTGCTCAGCTGGAGTCAGCTGGAGATTCTCTCTCTCCCTCTTCCTACGCCCCTCTCCCCGTGCCTGCACTCTCTCTCAAGATAAATAAATAAATCTTTTTAAAAAAATTTTTAAAGATTTTTTAAAAATTTATTTATCTGAGAGACAGGGAGAGGGAGTACGAGCAGGGAGGAGGGGCAGAGGGGGAAGCAGACTCCACGCTGACCAGGGAGCCTGATGTGGGGCTCAATCCCAGGACCCTGGGATAGTGACCTGAGCCAAAGTCAGACCCTTAACCGACTGAGCTGCCCAGGCACCCCTAAAAATAAATAAATAAATCTTTAAAAAAAAAATTTCAAGGGGCTCCTGGGTGGCTCAGTTGGTTGAGCATCTGACTTGATTCTGGCTCGGGTCACAATCTCAGGGAGCCCTGCCTTGGCTCTGCACTCAGCACAGAGTCTGCTTGAGATTCTCTTTCTCTCCCTCTGCCCCTTCCCCTGCTTGAGCTCTCTCTCTCTCTCAAATAAAATCTTTTTTTAAAAAAATCGCTCAAAAATTGTAAGAATTTTGAAAAAATACTCACTGTTTAAAAAAACTGAACAAAATCAACACTATGCTAACAATTATAGTGGAAGGAAAAGAAAGCATGAAGTTGTTAGAATGACTGGGAAGAGCTCCTTCCTGAGACAAAGAGATTATATTTTTATAAGGGAAGCAGTTATGTTTTATACAGAAATCACACACAAAATTGAGTAATTTCCCCACAAAATTTAGTTGCAAGACCAACTACCACACCAGATTTACCCTCACGGATATACCCTGAAGGAGACCCAAGTTTAAATCTGAGAGACTGACCGACCTCTCTCAGCTTTGGCTTCCTCAACTATCATATGGGGCAAGAAAGATTTACTGAGTTCATGAAATAAAATGCCTGGCTGAGAGTCTGTCATGTAATAAGAGCCCACTAAGATAGGAACTTATGTCTTTTCAATTTTGTATTTTTATCATTTATTACTGGTTGAGTTCTGCTCCCCCCAACAAAACTCATCCGGGGGGGTCCTAGCCCCCCGTACCTCAACATGTGACCTGACTTGGGAACGGGGTCACTGCAGATGTGATCCATGGTTATTAGACACCATTGGGTGAGGTCATACGAGAACAGGGTGGGACCCTAATCCAATGACTGGTATCCTTAAAAAAGGCGTAAGCCCACATGCACACAGACATGCATACAGGGAGAACACCATGTGAAGATGAAGGCAGGGATGGGGGTGAAGTCTCTACAAGCCCAGGAACATCAAAGATGGCCCACAAACCACCGGGAGCTGGTGGGGAGGCCTGAAATAGACTCCCCCTCACCTTCTGAAGGAAGCGACCCCGCCAACAAGTGGCCTGCTCATCCCCGGAGCTGTGAGAGAGCATGTTTCTGCTGGTTAAGCCACCCAGTCAGTGGGTCTTTGTTGCAGCGGCCCAAACAAACTAATATACCATTGTTGCTTGTTTTTCAATGATTTAATTCATGTTTTTCAAAGTCTGAGTTGCCATTTAGTGGTTGTGAAATGAATTTATAGTGGTTGTGACCAGCATGTGTGTGTCTTACTACAATGAAACAGAAGAGGAAATATTAGAGTCCACTGCGTTTAGTAAAGAGTAAATACTGTTTCAGTACATTTTAAGTACACAAAGGTGTGTGTGTACCAGAATACGATGAAAACATTTATCTTCATTTGTATTGGAGTAAAAGGGGAAAAAAAAGTTGCACACTTTTTAAAAGCCATCTCTGGTTTTCACCCATTATCATTTCCCTTGAAAAGGGAAAGCATCCATAGGAGAGAAATGGTGGTAAGGTTAGTGTGTGCTCCGAGCAGGGGGTTGTACGCCAGCCTGGCTGAGGGGCAGGTCCAGACTGCTGCCCAGTTCGAAGAAAAGATGCTGCGCCCAAAAGCACTCCCCTTAAAAACAGAATTGCAACTCAGGCCTATGGGTCACATCTCTTCCTGCAGACAACAGAACCAACCTCAAATATTCTTTTTTTTTTTTTAAGATTTTATTTTTATTTGTTAGAGAGAGAGGGTGCACGCACACGCAAGAAAGTGAGCAAGAGCACAAGCAGGGGGAGCGGCAGGCAGAGGGAGAAGCAGGCTCCCCGCTGAGCAGGGAGCCCAACGTGGGACTCGATCCCAGGACCCTGGGATCATGACCTGAGCCGAAAGCAGCCACTTAGCCGACTGAGCCACCCAGGCGTCCCCCAACCCCAAATATTCTTCCGCAGTAGAGCTGGCGTCCCCCAACCCCAAATATTCTTCCGCAGTAGAGCTGAAACACGCCACTTTCTTCCTAAGGCAACTCGGTGCCCATAGGATGACAATGCCCATGAGCTCACACCTGCCAGTTCTGACAAACCGCAGCATATCTGTGCCTCTGGCCCAGCGTTCCTCAACTGCTCCTCAGATGGGGCTCACCCTAAATGACCCAGCCCCAGGGATGGACACTGGCTGACATCAGGTCAGTCAGGATCCTCCTGGCTCATTTTTGCTGAAGCTACTCAGAAACTTTCACTTCCTCTGGAATCAGGGTACTATAAAGGTGATTTGCGGAAAAAAAGAATCCAAAGTGGCTGTGTAGGAAGGTCCTGCACTCACCTCCTGCCAAGGACACATGAAATCAACAGCTACATCAGGATCCTTTCCCTCTGGAAAAGATATGAAAACTCGATGAACTGCTCTCCACAACAAAAGATAATAGGACTTCACTGAAATGGGTGAGGCAGGGACACGGTCTGGCCAAAACACGCCGCCCCCCGCCCCCCGCCCTGCAGTGACCCCGCCAGAGAGAAGGATCTCACCAGACAGGCACTTCTCCCGGAGGAGTGGTCACAGTGCCCCACATCAGGCACTCCAACCCTTGGGGATCTGCATCAGAGAGATGAACTCCCAAAAACATCTGGCTGACATCCAAGGAACCCAAAGTGCCATAGGAAACCGAGATCCTCCTTTTAAAGGGATCACCTGCAGTCTCACCTGCCCCAGAATCTGGCGGAAAAAGCACCAATTTCAAAAGCACCTGGACTGTATGCAAAGGAGGTTCATTTGCTGGCCTGGGGGCATCTGCTGGAGGGGCAGGGGGCAGCCTGCTCTCTCCAGGGATGGAGGCACTGGTGACACTGTTTGTAGCTCTCCACCTACCCTGCTAGCGCAGACTGTGTGCTCGGGCACACACCCACCCACTGCCTCACCGGGTTGGGCAGGGGCTGGGGGGGGGGGGAACGGTTAAGCCGCTGTCCTGCCACCTTGCTGAGGCTGGAGATCCTGAGTGGCTGCAGCAATTCCCAGCTTCCCGGCAGGGGCAAGCAAGCATGAACAATCACAGCATTCTCTCCCTCCCGTGCTAAAGTCCATGAGCACAGGTAGCACTTGTGACACACCCCCACCCCCTGGCTGGGGCTGGTGAGCACCAGTGGTCATGGCATTGCCCCCTCCCCAACTTGGGACAAAGCATGCACGCACACAGGGCCCGCTCCGGCTGCACTGCTAAACCCCGGAGGCATGCACAGTGAGGGCATTTTCCCACTGCCTTTCCCAAGCTGGTGAGTGTGCCTCACCCCTACAACCCCCCGTTGCCCTGCTAAGGTCAGCAGCCACACAGAAACCAGGCAGGAGACAGCCCTTCTTTGCCTGGCCCTAGTGGCCAAGGGGGCTGGCATTCCTGACCTCCAAGGGGACT